CCTGAAAACTCTATTAAAGTATTAGGAATCACATTCAGTCCGGATGTAAAAGTGGTAAACAACAGTGTAAATATTGAATCTAAGTTTTTAAAATGTCAAAGTATTATGAAGTCTTGGGCAAACCGAATACTTACTATTTTTGGAAGAATTGTTCTTGCAAAGTCATTGATTATATCACAATTTTCCTATATAATGCAAGGCTTTATTTTACCAGAGAATATTTTAAACAGAATAAATACAATGGTTTTCAAATTTATTTGGGCCAAGGGAAAATTTAAGGAATGTGACTTAAAGAATGTGCCTGAGAAAGTTAAAAGAGATGTTATTGTACAAGACTATTCTGAAGGTGGTCTACAAATGATCAATGTTAAAGACATGCAAATTGCATATGCATTACAGTGGGTCAAAAAACTCTAAAGGGCATTGGAAATATATTCCCTTTAGTATGTATGATAAGCTGGGAGTAAACCTCTCTGTTTTTAGAAGTAACACTTCAGCTGAAAAAATAAGTGGTCTAGAGAACTGCTCTGAATTTTATGCTGATATATTAAAAATGTGGATAAAATGTTGTAATTATAAAGATGAGTATATATTATGGAATAATGACAATATTGTAAGAGCTAATAAAACTCTGTATTTTTCTAATTGGATTGAGAAAAAACTGTTATACATTAAGGATGTCATTAGAAACAAAGCATTGGTAACATATGATGATATTGCCAACATAGTAGGTAGAAATGGCCAAGTATTTTTACAGTATCAGGCATTAAGAAATGCTTTAAAACCAGAACACATCTTTAGATGGTATAATTGCGAAGATGATCATGTAAATGACAAACTTTACTTCAGAAATATTGAAGTTAATAAAATAACTGCTAAATTTATTAGGAAAAAATTGGTACAAGACAGAAAGGTTGAATTGTATTATGATGGTGAGCATATCCTCAAAGATGTATGGGAAACACTTTATAAATGTACTAGAGAAACAGTTCTCTTAGAATTACAATGGAAGATACTCCATAAAATCTACCCTCATGGGGGCATACTTAAAAGATATAACATAATGGATAGTGACAAATGTAAATTCTGTGATGAAAATGACAATATGGCCCATTTTTTGTTAGTTGTAAAAAAATTGAACCTATTTGGATTGGAAATGAATGTAACATTTTGGAACGTCTAGGTGTAAAACCAACAGGAAAAGAGATATATTATGAAAACCTAATTCTTAAGAGAGTGGTACATTTATTGAAAATTTTTAATTAAATGTAAATAGTTTTTAACTCTGTATTGTAACTGTAATTATGTAATATTATGCATACATGTTGTACATATGTTAAGAAATAAATAGATTTTACAAAAAAAACAAAACACCAATTCTCAGCCAGTGATTTCAGTAAGTTATATAGAGGGGATTTTACCTACATTAAGACCTGTCTAATCTGAGGGACCAGCTAAAAGCGTTCGGATTAGGAGGTGTTCACATTTTGAGGTTTTGCATTTGCAAGATTTTGGATTTTGAAGAAATAGGAACAAATTCTCATTAAATATTTATAGTTCTTTTGCCTACATATATTTATGGCATTACAGTGACATGAAAATCCGATTCAAATGAATTGAGTCATCCTAGAAAGCCCCACCATGAGTGAGATCATTCAAGATTTTTTCAAATATTTGAGCAATTTTGTATGGAACATGTGATATTTTGTGAAAAGTGTTCAGATTAGATAGATTAATTTATCAAACATTACCGTTCACTGTTCAAATTGGGAGGTGTTCACATTTCAAGGTTTTTTAACATTTGAGTCAATGGGAGGAAAAAGGGACCAAAAAGTGTTCAAATTAGGAAGTGTTCGGATTAGCCAAGTGTTCAAATATACAGGTTTTACTGTACTACAATTGTTTCCAATATTTTGGAGGAAAGTGTACATCATTCAAGAGAAACTAGATAATGGCAACTCCGCGGAGTAGCAAATCCCAACGAACAAAATATCAATTACCGAAATCCAATCAATTATACTCATTACTTTGGTTAAAATTGAAAAATTTAGATTTTAGAATTGCGAATTCCTGCAAAGCAGCCATTTTGAATTTTCTGAGGTACAAATTTGAAAAATAATACCATAATTGTGATCTACTCCAAAATTCCTTCAATTTGAGTATTATACGTTGAAGGGATCGAAATATTATTGGGAAATCGTACATTAGACGGCCATTTTGAATTTTACGAGGCTCGAATCAGAAAAAAGATACAATATTTGCAATCTACTCTTGATTGCCTTTCATTTGAGTATAATAAAGCTATACTTCAGAAAGATCTAAAAATTAGCGAAAATTTCTGTTTTCTGACCCTCCATAGACAGCCCCTGGGGTCAGGATGAAAAACACGGAATATATGTGAAATAGATAGATGTTGCGAATATACTACCAAAATTTCAAACAATAATATTAATTACTTTGGTTTAGAATGAAAAATTTATGATTTTTGCAAAAAAGTCCCGTCATTCTTAAAGCGGCGGCCATCTTGAAAAAATCCATTTTGAATTTTCTGAGGTAAAAATCTGAAAAATAATACCATAATTGTGATCTACTCCAAAATTCCTTCAATTTGAGTATTATATAGCCATACTTTGAAGGGATCGAAAAATTATTGCGAAATCGTACATTAGACGGCCATTTTGAATTTTACGAGGCTCAAATCAGAAAAAGATACAATATTTGCAATCTACTCTTAAATGCCTTTCATTTGAGTATAATAAAGCTATACTTCAGAAAGATCTAAAAATTAGCAAAAATTTCTGTTTTCCTGACCCCCCATACACGACCCTTGGGGGTCAGGATGAAAAACAAGGAATATATGTGAAATAGATAGATGTTGCGAATATACTACCAAAATTTCAAACAATAATATTGATTACTTTGGTTTAGAATGAAAAATTTATGATTTTTGCGAAAAAGTCCCGTCATTTTTAAAGCGGCGGCCATCTTGAAAAAAAAAATTTTTGCGTAAAACTATTCATTAATATACATCTTTCCACCAAATATGAAGAAAATCCATCCACCAATATTTGAGTTATCTTCCGGACGGACGGACGGACGGACTGACTGACTGACGGACGGACGGAGGGCTTCACTATATCCCTACCGAACTTCGTTCGTTGGGATAATGACAGGTGACACACTGGCATGGGAACTGGTCATATCAGATGTTCCCACGCTTTACTTCCAGAAGAGGTCATTTCCCAGGATTATAGATGAACCCTTGGCCAATCAATGATATAGTTTACATAAGAGAAGTATGACTGTATGAATTCTGGGATAATCCTGTTTTGTTGAGACAGATGAGAATTAAGTAACCCTTTGCAAAAGAGTTCATAAACAGAATGCTGTGTTAGAAAAACATATTATATTATTTATTCATTGAAGTGTGTCAAAAACTACCGCAAAAACTACCGCATTTATTCAAAATGTCCCCCAAAAACTACTGCATTTTTTAATCTACAGTAAAACTACCGCATTTTACAAACTCTTCCGCAAAACTAGTTTTTCAAAAATCTACCGTAAAACTACCACATTTTTTCAAAATCTACCGTAAAACTACCACATTTTTAAAAACTTCCAAAAAAAGTAGTTTTTTCAAAAATCTACCGCAAAAACTACCGAATTTTTGTCGAAAAATACTGCAAAAACTACCGCATTTTGAAAATATCTAACACAAAAATACCACAATTAAAAAAAACTACCACAAATTTTTGGTCTTAGGTTGGCAGGTATGAATAAGACAATGTGAATACGTGAAAATTGATACATGTATATCCTGCCACCCCTGCAAAATAATGGACTTGCCCACTTGGTCTCTTGGATTCACTTGTAAAATATATATAACCATATAAAACTATATGTTCATATTTGATATGAGACTAATTATTGACATGGCACACTGTTTAATGACGTACACTCTAACATACACCACTACAAATATTTTTTTACATTACATAAACATTTAACAAGAATGGATTCATTTAAGTTTGAGTTTAAATGTATTTCCTCATCTTACAAAATGGTCGCGAGTAAATCTCAGGCACGACATGGAAATCTGAAATTATAGAGGGCGCAAATCCAAGTGCACTTGTACCGGAAGTCTGTCTAAATATGATTATTGAACCCATAACAGCACACTAAGTGATTTTTCCCGATCCAAAAATTTCTTCTGAGCCCTTGGTGTTCTTAATTCTAAGTGATTAATCTTGATCCTAGGTGGTTGTTATTGATCTTAAGTGATAATGTTTTTGATCCTTAGAAATATCCTCATGATCTTGATCTTTGGTATCTGTCTTGATCCTTAGGGATTGGGTCGATCCGAAACAATTTTACAGGTGATTGTTCTTAATCTTAACTAAGTGATTGTTTTTATTACTTTAAATTTTTCTTGACTCTTCTGGGCAATTGTTTGGTTTTGATTCTTAATATTTTGTTTTGATACTGTGATTGTACTCAATTGTTCTAGATCTAATCTTAGGTGATTGTCCCTGGTTTAGGTGATTGTTCCTGATCATAAGTGATTTACCTTGATCCTTGATATTTTTCTTTACTAAGCTCGGTCAGTAGGTAGTTGATTGTTTTAGATCATATTAATTGGTCCCTATGTGATTTGTGATCGTGCTGGTCAAATGTGGTTGTACAATAGACTATTAATATACTAGTATTGTCCAAAATTTCCCGGGAAATCTTTGTTTCATTTCGCCGTGTGTAAAATGAAAATGCGCCCTCTATAATTTTAGATTTCCATGTCGTGCCTGAGATTTACTCGCGACCTTTTCCTTACAAAATTCTCAACTCACCACAGCCATGTTGTATGTATCTCCTATTTTGAAGAGTAGCACCTGTCACTCTGTGTGTGAAATCATTCATTGGACCTATCATTCTTCACAGGTTAAAATAGTTGATTTATATTTGAATTCGATAATTACATTTAAAAATTAAATGTGTAGTAGTAATACTTTAGTACCTCTTATTGATTAATGTATAATATTACAACATACATAATGATGTAGGCAATTTGTTTCATAAAAATCTAAAAGTGAAATTCATAATTTTAATTTACCCTCTGGGAGCCCCAAAATCAAAGAAAATGCATTTTCTTGGTGATGTATTTTCTAAACTACCCTTTTAGTCAATTAATCAGTAATATTCATTGAACAAAAGCTTACTAGCTTGATATCTGAATAAATGATATTTCAATTATAAAATATACTAAGTTGCAATTATGCACTCTATCATTCTCAAAATTCATTTCTTTCGTTGCGTACCTTCATTCTCAAAATTCATTTCGTTCGATGCGTACCTTCACTACCTGAGGTAAGGCACAGGAGGCACGGATGGCACTGGACGAAATGAGGCACAGGAGGCACGGATGGCACTGGACGAAATGCTTGGAGATTGGCACTCTATCTGATAAGTTATTCTTGTATATTTTAATAATATCTTATTCAGTCACCCTCAAAACACGAGTTTAGACAAACTAATTATGCTGCTATGATTTCTACATTTCAAGATATAGAAAACAATCAATATTTCAATAATGATCGACCTCGCTAATTAGCCTATATTATTTTTTCCCCAACCCAGCTTAATCTCTTCAGGAAACCCTTATCGTCATAAATTAACAAAAAACATCGTGTTTTTAACAGTTCATGGGTTCCCTATAGGATGCAAAGGAGTGACAAATGGACTATCATTTTATATAAAGAAGAAGCAGATTTACTATTTTTACATGTCATTGTAGAGTGGAGTGCAATATTATCAACACTAAAATTATCTAGAATGAATCTCTTAAATATGAAAATAGGTCATTTCTGTTATGTGTGTACAGTCTAACAGAAAATGTTTACTTGGTCACTATCATATAAAATACATTTTCTGTTGTGTAATGGGATGTTATTAATGCGACCTGTCTCTCTTCAAAGTACCAGATCTAAATTTTGCCAGTATTTTTCGATGGCGTCTTGGAAGGTTTCCTTTATAAACTGTACAGTGCAGACACCAAATTGACTTTGGAAGTGTAGTTCAACATTTTGGACTGTTTGCTTAATCTTGATTGGTTGTTCCATTTCTAAAATATATATTCCTTAAAATGTGTATTTTATATTTCGTTTACTCTCATTCGCTGATGTACGATCTCAATTTTTACGTATACATTGTTTTGTTTAGTATGGTTTCTCTCTATTACTACACCTTTTATTTGATGTTCTGTTGACAAGTAACGACCATAGCTAGTATCCAATATTAGATTATTTTTTCGATTCATGTGTGCTCAAAATTGTGGCGTGGAAGGTCTGCATAGTTTTTAAAGTGAACGCGTTAGGTAATTTGAATTCCAAGACGCTTTAAGTGACTGTAAAATCTTTGACTTATAAATCTGTAAAAGTCATAGTCATTCGCTTGATATTCTTTCATCACGGCAATGGTTTCATTACTTGGTCTTTTCTTGTTAGGCGATTTATTCCTTACATGTTCCATTGTGCGGTTATTGTACGCTCTTGACAGTTCATCAGTAAACCTAGGCAACACTTTTTCCATTGCTCTTACAGTTTCGTTAAAGTGCTCAGTCAGACCAACGAATGCATAGAATCGCTCAATGTTTGCTTTTGCTTTTTCATAGGAAATCTGCGAAGGTTGGATGTACTTTCCTGAAAACCAGGATGCGTAAAATGAATGATACTCTTTGAAACCTTTGCATCCATTGTATGGCTGTTTTTTCAAACAGGCTGCTGTTTGTTTGGTATTCTTGCCTACACATCCAGTCTTCTTTTTCCATATTTGGAAACATTCCTCAAATGTTTGGGTTCTGTCTCGTTCAGTTAATTTCCAAAGTTTTATGTAAGGTGGGGAAGATAGAAAATAATAGTATTTAGATATCCATCTTTCTACAGGATCCCGTACTATGTCTATAAATAATGGCTGTTTGTAACCAAGCTCGATAAAATCAAAAAAGGCGAAATGTCCTATAACAATCTTAGGACTTTCTTGTATGAAATGAGTTGACACATATTTTTTCTTTTTTGAAAGAGTTTTCAAATCTTTTTTACGTGGAACAGGTTCTATATAGGTCACATTGTATTTTCCGCTATATTTGCAAGCCGCTCTCATCACGGCAATCATCGTGGTGCTTCCACATTTTGGACTTCTGCTATAAAATATAAGATTTTCATTTCGATTTTTTACCTCAAATTCCTTGAGATAAATCATGCGACGTGGCAGAGTATCATGACCAATTGCAAATCCATTATGTCCAACATGTACAAGTTTTGCTCGTTTTGCAGGGGCAGGCCTGTTTACTTTTGATATACTCCTAGTCCAATGGGAATTGATCACCAGAGCAATTGACATTGCTACTACTGAAACTACTGTAAGACATATTATTATACGCTGAGAAATCATAGTTTTTCAAGTTCTAATATCCGTTTCAGGGTTGAAATATGCAAGCCCCGTCTAGCTGTCGATGTCTGAGGCTCAGGTCGATGTGGTAGTTCACTGTCAACCACCTGTGCGCGCGTCAATGACAGTAAGTTACTAGTACTACGTATACTTGCGCCTCATCATGATGATAACTGGGAGGCGTGAACACAGGAACGAGGCCCCGTTTATATTGTATGGTTTGCAAACCTACCCTATGTATGCACGCGTTGTTCACGGGTGTGTAGGCGTTAATTACTCCCGTGCAGACGTGAAATTACGCCCGTGCAGACGTAATTTACGCCCGTGTACGCGTTAATTACGCCCGTGTAGGCGTTAATTACGCCCGTATAGAAGTAAATTCTATACGCGTTAAAACAAATACAGGCGTAAACTAACGGCGTTAAAATATTCAATAGCGGGCGTTAAGACATTATTAAACACGCGTTGAAAACATCTATACGCGCGTCGAGTTTATTTTAGCGCCCTGAATTATGAACCAATCAGCATCTTGCTTACATAATGATACAGTGCATTCTAGCTAAAAGTGCAACTCCAAGATCCTTGTGCAAGTTAATAAAAAAACTCACGATTGTGCCAGGAACAACTATTGCAATTGATGGCACATGAAACATTATTTCTTTCTGGGTATCGTGGTGCACTATTTGTGCAATTGTGAAAGATGTACATCGAATATTAAATGAGTCATTTATTCCTGACAATAACATGTGACTCTAAAGAGGACTGCATATAGAGATTCCAAAAAGTACACGATCTAAAATTTGAACATATTTTGGCTAGGTATACTAGGTATATAGGCTCATCTGACATTTCCAGTACATGTACATTTTCAAAAATGCCAGATCTATAGGATATAGGTATAGTCTAGAGTCAATATGCAGTTGATCAGATACTATAATTCTAGTAACTGAACACATCCTTTAGAGGGATACATTAGGGATCTGACTGTATAGAGCTTTGTAAGCTGCAATGCGTATGAGGTTAAAGTGTCTCACATATTCGATCAAAATTTGCCATGCAAACATGTTAGTCTACTTTACTGGCCCCCATTGCTGTAACAAGGAACCCAAAACACATTAAAACGTAAACATAAACCAATTAGTCACTTCACTATGAAAGTGGGGGTGTTAGCAAATGTAAGGCCATAAGAAGTAGATTCTTTGTTTTGCGTCCCCTTGCTTGCACGATTTTGAGTAAATCAGAAAAAAACAAACACATCCAAATAGCAATACTGCAATAACAAGGGTCAGAAAGTACCAACGCATTTCGTTCAATGAGAAGCAGACGAAATGGCGGATAATTTGATGTGCATCAAAATTGACAGTGTTATTGGTTACTTTGACATACATTGTGTATTTTCTTATTTTTTACCCTTGAATAATAGCTATATTAAAATATATTGTATGAAATGTATAGATATGTGTTTGTAGTCACTGCAAATTGGTATGTCATCCCTTTTTATGCCCATAAAATGTATACATTTCTCAGCAAACAAGTTTGTGTTTTTTCATGAGTTTGTGTTTGTTTTTCTTGTACCCTTGCATGATTTGGATTTTGTCAGGACGCAAAACGAAGAATCTACTTCTTATGGCCTAATGTGTATTAGCAGAATACGCTGTGTGCATGGACTAACACAATATCAGTGGTCATTTACTGTATCAACTTAGTAACCCTTGCATATCGTGCTCACTCAAGTATTGAACAATTTTTTTATGATCTAAATGTTTGTTGTGTATAAAAAAAATGTGATAAATTTTAGTTAGAAATACATTAATTAATATATTCATTCAAACAGCACTAGAATGCGGGAAGAAAGAGCAATGGTGACAAAATGCAGACAGAATTTTCCGTAAGGGTTTCAAACATTTCTGAACACAATCATACATGTACTTCTGTACTGTTATTTTTAGTGCTGTATTTATAGATATAATTTCACGTATTAAACTCATTTTTGCAGCAATGACTTTAAATTCGGAACCATACCCATATCACATTTTCTTCAATAACTCCAAACATGTGTAAACATTGACCATGTGCATATAAATTCAGATTTCACGAGCTCTTTCCTATTCGAGTACCTCATACACCCCTGCATAGATTTGTGTTGGATTCGCCTTTTATACGTGAGCCGACACACTCGGAAACGCTGATTGGATAAAGATTGCGAGAATCTTTAAGCCCCTACCTCTGAAGCCGACGCCTAGATTGGAGAATTATCAAAAAAACATCGTATTTAGAAACCAAACATGTATACCTTCTCAAAATATAAGTTGCAATTTTGTCGTTTCTACAATGGGTGTTGATAACTGCCGACATAGAACATGTATCTTCAATTTGCCTTTTAATTTGCTCTAAAAATTGAATACTTTTTGTAAAGTCTAACAATCTTGAACGAATATATGAGGACGTCAATGCAACACACTAAATGTAAGCAGGCTTCTGATTGTTATTTAGCAAGGATGCATTGAATCATAGTGTAAGTAAGGTGCTAATTGGTTCATAATTTACGGCGCTAAAGATAAACTCGATGGGCGTGAAGATGTTTCTCAACGCGTGTAAAATAACCGTCTTAAGGGGACTCATCTCTAACTTAGCCGATTTGGGGGTACCCTGAACGCACTGTTTATGTTTCTTTTTTCGGAAGGGTTTCATATATGCTTTCATTTAATGTAAAAAACATTGAATGTACGCCATCAAAATATTTCACTACCTCGTCTGAAAGATGGGTGTGACGTTATGGAAAAACGCCCCAATTTACCCACTTTGCTAGAATACGCTTGCTTTAAAAGCGACATGTTCTGAACTTATCGATGAATGATAGGAAAATCGTCACACAGCCACCAAGATTGTTTTTAATTTACGGCATTTGATACACTGAAGTCTTTTGATGCCAAATATTTTTCATGGATACTAATAAAGCATCGTAAGAACAGCTTATATAAAGGATTTTGACCCCTTACCCAAGTTCGGCAGTGCAATTGACGCCATATAAAATTTTAATTGTATTCCAATTTACATAAACTTTGACATTTTTTGAGGTAAAAAGTAAAACATCGTTTTTATTGTTTCAACCAATAGTTCACGTACCCCTAAATAACTTTTGAAAATATAAAAAGGTTCCACCGTCGATTTTTTCTGTTATTCATATTCAAAATTTCGGCGTTTTTTGATATTTATAAGAATTTCATCAATTATCTCCAACAAGAAATGTTTATATTGCTCATCGGTATAGTCTCGCCATACACGTATAAGACACGTGAATCATAATACAATCGCTAAAAATGTCTTTGATTAACTTCAGTTTGATTATCTGAAGAGTTTGAGTTCGAAGAAAATTCGATTCGGGGTAAATAAAGCATTGTTATACCAATTTTTGTAAAGGCCTGTGATCCCTTACCCAAATTCGGCATTACAATTGATGCCATATCAAATTTTAATTGACCTTCAATTTTCATAAACTTTGACATTTTTTGAGGAAAAAACTAAAACATTGACATATTGTTTTTATTATTTTAAACAATAGTTCACGTACCCCTAAATAACATTTGAAAATATAAAAAGGTTCCACCGTCGATTTTTTCTGTTATTTATATTCGGAATTTCGTCTTTTTCTGATATTTTCGAGAATTTCAAAAATTATCACCAACAAGAAATGTTTTTAGTGCGTAACGGCATGATCTCGCTAAACGTGTTATTGGGCATGCGAATCATTTTACAATCGCTTAAAATGATACAAATGCAATGCCTTTTATTATCTGAATAGTTAGAATATAAAGAATATTAAAATTAGGGTAAATAAAGCATCATAAGACCAACCTTTGTAAATGATTTTGACTCCTCACCCAAGTTCGGAAAAAAAAATTACGCCATGTCGAACTTGAATCACCTTTTTACCACAAACTTTGACATTCTTTGAGGAGAAAAATAAACATTGACATATTGTTTTTATTGTTTCAAACAATAGTTCACGTACCCCTAAATAACATTTGAAAATATGAAAAGGTTCCACCATCGATTTTTTCGGTTATTTATATTCAAAATTTTGTCGTTTTCTGATATTTTTAAGAATTTCATCAATTATCTCCAACAACAAATGTTTATATTGCTCATCGGTATAGTTTCGCCAAATGCGTATTAGACACGTGAATCATTATTCAATCGCTAAAAATGCTTACTGCATTTAATTATCGGAATAGTTTGAATTCCAAGAAAATTCAAATGAGGGTAAATAAATTAAAGCCTTAAGACTAACATTTGTAAATGGTTCTGACCCCCGGGGTTCTGGCCCCTTACCCAACTAGTTCTTGACGCCATTTCGAATTTCAATCGCCTCTTTATTTCAATAAACTTTGATATAAATTGACGTAAAAAAATTGATGGTGAAACTTTTTTTATTTTAGATGTTATTAAGAGGCACACAATTCGGTGTCTATACCGTAGGCTAAAACGATTTTCTTATACATCAGTAATGTATGGGAATACTTTGCCATTATGATTTCCAAGGTAATATATACATGTAATGAAACCTTATATAAATTGTTCATACTAATGGCATTTAGCGGAAAAAGCAAGTTACGTGCTAGTTTGCCATTTCTGTAAAACATTTGCATACTTGCTATACTGCTGGAATACTAACGAACTAAGCTTGAACAAAATACAAGAAAACAAGGCAAACACCCAAATTATGCAATTATTTGGGAAATCAGTGACGTATAGTTCGTTTGTTTGTTTAATTGTTGATGGGGCAATGTGCCACTGACGTCACAGATAATTGTACCATATTCCAATAAATCGTGAACAACAGTGTTATATGACGTCATGATAAAACAATGCTTCAAGTGAGGAGCTCTTAGTTGCTATGTCGTAAAGTGTCACATACCGTCATTCAACGTCATCACGGGGGATAAGCAAAACGAGGGCGAAGCCACGGACTGCTGACTCGCGTAACTTTACACCGCAGCCCAGCGCCAAAATGGAGGGACATCCGGCAGTGCCTTCTGCTTCTTCCGACAAAATAGAGAAATCCAGGTATTTCAAATGCCATCGTAGTGTCTAATCGGTGACCAAAATATTACTCTGTATCTACTGTTGGTCTGTAGATAAGAAAATAAGCAGTTGTCCAGATCAAGCTAAAA